GCCTCTTTAGCCGCCTTCCTTAGCAATGAACAGATGACAATCACCTATTTCATACATGCCCCAACTCAAGCCCAAACCAAATGAATAGACTGGCCAAAGGTCGCCGTGTAGATTGGCTTGCCCTGCGGAGATGTGAAGACCACATAGAAATCTCCAGCATGCACACCACTCTTGCGCTGCCGAATTTCAGCGACCCAGCCGTCCTGGAACGGTAGACTTTTGGCGACAATATATTGCCTTAGATCTTCCAACCCAACTAGTTTGCCCAATGCGAAAACAATAAGTTTACCGTGACATAAAGCATACAAAAAACATGATATATGTTACCATGGTACGACCTGGGCAGCTTGTTTCTCTTCTTATTCATCAACTCTAGCTGGTCCGTGGGGTTTGGGACTACCCCCTTTCCTCTTTCTAAAGCCAACTGTTGTGCCTTGGCAATGGTCACTCTGTATTTTGCACCATCAAGCCATTTGCAGTCCTCAAATTTTTCATTGTGAACAGTCGCTTCCGCCTGACCACAGATGATCAGATTGAACATCTAAACAAATCCTTTGGGTGGAACAGAACACCAAGGGTTGAACGCAAAGAAGTTCAACGAAACAATCAAAACTGTTTGGCCACGCAGGCCTGCTTGTGCTTCTTGGCCACCGCAGGAGCAGAGGCCATTGGTTTCGATGCCGCCGATGGGGTCTCGTGATGACCTTCCAGGGTGCGATTGTTCTTTTGGGGTTTCTAGTTGATCTATTAAATCATTGTTGGGATGACGCGACCCAAAGCCCTCCACTTCAACCAAGAAATGAACCACAAACAAGTCCAAGAACATTTGGCCGCAAATGGCCACGAGACACTGGACGACAATCTTGTCAGATGTCCTTTTCTACTATGAAGAGTTTTGGGGAGAAGACAAGGTGCCCCAAAAAATGTGTTATAGGATAAACTATCACGCAGATGGGATAATCTCAAAAAAATAAATCAAATGGCTAGCCTGGGCTCTTGGTGCGGATCCGCCGTGGAGGGGGTGGTGGCGGTGGTGGTCTTGCCGATGATGATGATGGTCCACCCCTCTCCATCTCCGCATCAAGATCGGCTTCAATGCCCTCCACTTCAACCTGTCCAAGATCAGGGATCGGTGCCTTCAGTCAGATATATGTACTATATAGTTCAGGGGCCTACGGAAAACATATGACTCAAATGAGCTAGGGAACCTCAACAGACTTCCGAAGAGCTTCAGAAATTGTACTTTGCCTTTTGGCACGAAGCTTTGCCAAGAGTACTGTATGCGAGGTCGCGGAAGTGCAGTCTATAGGGGTAGACTGAACAGTCCTGGTCCACCTTTTGAGATTGGATTTCGGATATTGCGACCTGATAGTGGATGGCCTCGCCTCATCCTTCTTCTTTCCTTCACTTTTACTTTCTTCTTCTGACAAGCCCATCGAGCTTATCGACACCGATGAGGACGATGAGCTGCTGCTGTTGCTTCGGCTGCTGCTGCCGCTGGGTTCCGTCTTTGCCTTTACACTTTCTTCCACCTTCACTTCTTCTTTTGGATTTTTTCCTTTCACCTCTTGCTTGGCTTTTTGTTTCGGCTTCCCCTTGGCTGCACTTGCTTTTGCTTTCCCCTTTGTTGGCCTCTCTGAAGCCTTGCTTTTGTTGCTTCCTTTTGTCTTCTCTTTGGCCTCCTCTGCAGCCTTCTCTTTCGCTCTGTCATCCTCTCTGTCATCCTCTGCTCTCTCATGCTCTGCTTTGTCATCCTTTGCACTTACTGTTGTTTTCTTCTTTGTTGGCCTCTCCGAAGCCTTGCTTTTGCTGCTTCCTTTTGTCTTCCCTTTGGTCTCCTTGGCAGCCTTCTCTTTTGCTCTGTCCTCCTCGCTGTCGTCCTCTGCTCCCTCATCCTCTGCTTTGTCATCATCTCTCTTATCATTTGAGCTTTCATCCTCTGCTTTGTCTTCCTCTGAGGCGGCCTCTGCTCTGTCCTCCTCTTTCTCATCCTCTGCTCTTTCATCCTCTGCTCTGTCCTCCTCCTTCTTGTCTGGCGTCCTCTGCTCTGTTCTCTTTCTCATCGTCTGACTTTCCATCATCTGCTTTGTCCTCCTCTCTGGCGTCCTCTGCTCTGTCCTCGCCTTTGTCCTCCTCTGAGCTCTCATCCTCTGAGCCTCCATCATCTGTTTTGTTATCCTCCCTGGCGTCCTCTGCTCTGTCCTCCTCTTTCTCATCGTCTGAGTTTCCATCTTCTGCTTTGTCCTCCTCTCTGGCGTCCACTGCCCTGCTCTGTTCTGCGTTGGCCTCCTCTCTGTCATCCTCTGCATCATCCTCTGAGTTCACGTCCTCTGCTCTCTCATCATCTGCGCTCTGATCCTCTGCTTTGTTCTCCTCTCTGTCGTCATTTGTTTTCTCCTCCTCTGACCTCACGTCCTCTGCTCTGTCCTCCTCTTTCTCATCCTCTGAACTTTCATCCTTTGCTTTGTCTTCCTCGCTTCGGTTCTCCTCGTCCTCTTTGTCATCCTCTGAGCTCTGACAGCTCTGATCCTCCGCTCTGCCTCTGTCCTCCTCTCTGTCGTCCTCTGCTCTGTCACCCTCCTCTGAGCTCTCGCCCTCTGCTCTGGCCTCCTCTCCCTCCTCCTGTGCCTCGGGATCTTCTGCGGAGACACCAGTCCCTGACTCGTGGGTCGGTGTGTCAATCTCAATCTCTTCATCAAGATTTATTGGAACAGGCATACTTTTTTTTGGGATCTTGCTGTTCTGGTTGTCTGTCTCCTCGTGTGGCCTTTTGTGTTTGGCCCGCTCAGCATCCCTCCTGTCGCACTCCATCCTCAGTTCCTCAATCTCCTCAAGGAGCTCTGCTTCAACACCAGCTTCATCGCCTGCTTCACGACCTGAAGACGACGAGGTTGAACCGGGAACACGCCCGTGAAGCGTGTAGAGGACAGGATGGAAAGGAGCTTCGTCTTCTCCTCCAGCATCCTCTGCTCTGTCCTCCTCTCTGTGGTCATCCTCTGACCTCTCCTCCTCTGCTCTGTCCTCCTCTGTGTCGACAACCTCATCCTCTGCTCTGTCATCTCTGTCAACCTCCGCTTTGTCCTCCTCTGGGCTCTCCTCTGCTCGATCGTCCTCTGCTCTGTCCTCCTCTCCGTGGTCATCCTCTGACCTCTCATCCTCTGCTCTGTCCTCCTCTGTGT